TAGGATTCCAATCACAAGTCCAGGTTGTTACCTGTGCTTCCGATCGACTGGCTATAAGGAGGTTCCCATGACCCTCCTCCTTGAGTTGAACTAATTTGCTAGGGCAGCTCACAGAACTCAGCAACATTTTACTTACTAGATTACCAGTTTAATTAAAAAGGATGTAACTCAGGAAGAGCCAGGTGGAAGAGACTCATTGCAAGGTATGGGAAAGGGGTGCGGAGCTTCCATTCTGAGCGCTCCACTCTCCCCACACCTCCAGGTGTTCACCGACACAGCAGCTCTCCAAATGCCGTCCTTCTGGGTCTTTATGAAGGCTTCATTGCACAGGTGTAACTGATTAAATCACTGGCCATTGGTGATTGAACTAAATCTCTAGCCTGTCTCCCATCCCAGGTCAGGGAGTGAGCCTCCAAGTCCCAACTCTCTAATTGCATAGTTGGCTCCCCTGGCAAACAGACTCCACCCTTAGGTTACCGAGGGGCTAGCCAAGTCACCTCATTAACAAAAGAGGCCTGAATTGCTCTCGACACTTGGGAAATTCCAAGAGTTTAGGAGCTCTGCGCCGATGAAGGGGGACAAAGACCAAATGTATATTTTTTATAAATCCGGACATCAAAGGCATGAAAATAGTCGCCTTCTCACCAGGTGATGCCTTCCTTTCTAGGTTAGAGGTCCCTACAATGAACATATAGCATAGTTCACACACAATTCACTCCAAAGCCTACAAGAGAAATGCACTCCTGGTCCTGTGGATGCCTTGACCTTCTCCTACTACCTAGGCTTCACACCAAAAGTGCTACTACTGCCCACGAAATCGGCAAGCCTCAGCCAGGGTCGTCTCCCCTAATGAAAGAGTACAAGCAAGAGGTACAAGAGACAGAGGGAATATCAGGACTAGACGCTTCAATTTTGATCACGGAAAATTGCCCTGGCCCTGCATGAGAACGTGAGGCTACACCTGATGCAGACAGAGAAATGCCATTTCGCAAGCTTACATCATACGGGCCAGTCTTAACCCAGAACAACGTGTGAAAGGAAACCAGGAAGTCCGAGGGGATCCGGGGCTGCAGCCTGGCTCCTGGAACCACTATTCTCTGCAGAGGCACGTCTGAGAGACACCTTCTCTTCCACTCATGTAGCAGATGTTTACCAAGTGCCTTCCACGTGCCAAGCACCAAGACCAGCATTGACCCAAACGACAGAGAGGGGTGAAGAGCCCCAGCTCAGGGAAGAGATGAGTGTTCCCCTGCACCATCAGTGCCATGAAGGAAGACTCTTAACCAAGACACACCGAGCCGGGATGCCCCATTAGTAAAATGGAGAGAATAAGCTGACACTGCTTATTTCACACGGCTGTTTCAAAACATAACACATGATTAAATTGTTTAAATATAAAATGTTTTTAAAAAGGGGGGGAATGAGTTAAAAAAAAAGAGAAAGGAAGGAAAGAAGAAAAAAGGGGAGAGGGAACGGGCGAGAGGGTACGCGAAGGGGAGACAAGGGGCAGGGGGAGAAGAGGGGAGGGAAGAGAAAGGAAATAGGGGAGAGGAGAGGGAAAAGGAATTATTTCACATGCTAGACTGATACATTTTCATGTACCAAGTAGAAAGGGAGGGAATAACAAAATGGAAAATGGCTAAAAAACTACACAGAACTAGTTTTGGTTTTTTTATGGGCCTAGGAGCTTTCACAGAAATGAAGAGTCATTTCCTTCAGTTCTTTCTTCCTGGGCTCAGGAAGCCAGTTGATTCACTATAAAGTAATGCAATACACAATCATCAACTTAGGAAAAAAGGGAAAGGTGCCCTAAGAGCTGGCTCTCTCCTCACAGGGAGAAGCTTGTACTCCACAAAGGACAAATCAACCGAGATCCACAAAATGATAAATTTTATTTCTCAGAATTTAGTTTGCTGCTTGATATTCCCTGCAAAGAGGGAGCAACCACGAATGTCTTTGAGACCCAAATCGCAGACCTGTCCGAGCACTGTCCACAGGCAACTCAGTCCATCAGAGGTCCAATAGAAATCTCTTAACCTGGGCCAGGTATTTTGGTTTCAAATAGTCACCCAGTTCCTCTTTACTGACCCACACATGATGGCCCTTCTTCCCAGCCTGGGCAAAGTCTCCAGTCAGTAGTAGTGCTTTGAAGAAGAATACTTTGGCCCCGATGCTACTCTCTGTCCGTATTGCCTGGGGGAACTTGAACTTGTAGTGGCCACAGGGTGCATTTCCCAGGAACTTGGCTTCCATGTTGTTTTCTGAGGGAGGAGGGGAAACACAAGTGGAAGATGAGGACACACCCACCTGCTTACTCTGGCTCCCAAAATCATCGAGGGTGTCTGTGAGAGCCTTTTCCAGTGACGTAAAAGCAATCTCTGGGAGTGAGGACTAGGGTCGTTCTGGAAGAGCTTCCTGTCTTCTCAATCCAAACACTCCTGGCCCATGGGCTCCAGATTCACTGGGTCCACTCCATGTTCCAAGCTACTACTTTCAGACTGAAGTGAGCGAGGCAGTTCAAATACCACTACTTGGGAGTCAGAGCATTGAGCTTTTAGACTCAGCCCGGTCACCATCTGTTGGTGAAGGACCAAGGCACTTGGTATCTGTAAAGCAAGGCTAATCAGCCTTTTAAAGGGAGTGTCACAAGAAAAGCATAAAAAGGACCAATGTAACTTCTGTAGAGTGAAAACATCATAACCAAAGTTAAAAAACAAAGACTGACAACATTTACGATGTGTAACAAAGGGTTAATAACCCCAAGCCTGCATTTCAAAGGATAAGGAAATAATGGATTAATTATTAAATGGCATTTGAAGACTTGGCAAGCTAAATAAGAAAAATAAAGATGGATCCCAACCTCATCCATCATACCAAAACTGATACCATAATAGATCAAAGTTTTAACAACAGAAACTTTAAATTTTCATAAAAAGTCTGTTCTGGATGGTGGTTTCATGAATATTTAATATTTTCTGAATTCTTTTCTTTAATTTCTCATTAAAGAAAAAGGAAACCATAAGAGTACTTTCTGTATCATTTTTGGAAAGCCTAACCAATACACAAAATTCAAAAATCCAAAAAAAGAAAAGACATATTTATCTGTATAAAAATTAAATCTTTCTGCAAGGAAAAATGAAGCATAACAAAGTCAAAGACAAAATGACAAACCAGAAAAAAACATTTCAACACATTCAACAGAGGAATAATATCTTAAGGTATAAGAAATACTTAGAAACCAATGAGGAAAAACCAACAAATCTGAAAGAAAAATGGACTGAGCATATGAACAAAAAAAGTTCACACGAAAATAAAAATCAATTTAAAATTAATTAAAATATGCTCAATCTTATTAATTAAAGAAACAAATTAAAACAACATATCATTATTACTGAAGTTCAAAAACTGAGCTGAAGACAGCTTGTCAAGGATACAGGGAAAACGGGTAGTCTCACATGGGTGTACATTAGTATAACTGCTTTATTTAGCAAGAATTACCAATTTTACTTATGTATACTCTTTGATCTAGCAACTCTGCTTCTAGAAGTTTATCCTCCCAGATATATTTATTTGCCCATGTGAGCAAAGATGAGTATACAAGGATGTTCAGTGCAGCTTTATGTGTAAAAGCAACAGACTAGTTAAATTGCAGTACATATGTATTATGAAATAGCACACGTGGTAAAAAAAGTATGATACATCTTCATGTGCTGATATAGAAAAATGATTAAAGACTGTATAAAAGAGAAGGAGAAAAGGTATAACTCTAATATATATGTTCCAACTATGTGAAAAAAAAGACGGATAAAATATGTATGTGTTTGCAATTTCTAAAAGGATACACAAACTGTTAATAGTGGTTTCCCCTGAGAAAGAAAAATTACTTTTCCTATACTACACTTTCTAGACACTGATGACTTTTTCATCATACACAATAAATTGCTTTTCTCAATATTAAAAAACAGCACTATACAATACAAAATGTCAACAGTAGATATCTGTGAGTGGTGAGATTATATTGGATTGCTTCTTTATACTTTTCTGAAACTTTCATTCAATTTAATGGATACATATTACTTTTCTATAATCTGGAAAAAATAGATTAAAAATATAATTAAACCAAGAGCACAGAAAAGAAACCACTTGGTACAAACATGAACAAAGAGTCTAAATAAGCAGTTCACAGAAGAAATACAAACAGCCAATAAACACATTAAAAGATGGTCAACCTTGCTTACAAACACAAAAATGCTAATTCAAAACAATCAGTTTTTTACTGCCCGGATAGGCAAAAATTAGAGAAAGACTAATTCATGTTGGTGAGGCCTAGGCAAAGAGGTACTCTAATACACCATTCCTGAAAATTTCAAATGTTAGGTACATTCTGCAGAACCATTCAGCTGTATCTATTAAAAACTTAAATGTTTCTATCCTCGACCACTAATTCCACCTCTAGGAATTCCATCTTGCAGAAATACTTGGGAAGTATGACGACGATAGGAAGGAAAAAAATGGACTTTGACTTTTTGTAAATATACTTTTAAATTGCTTGAGTTTTTGTCATTTTAACAAATTTTCAATAAATCAATATATTTTATTTTCTATGCACCTGTTAAATATTAACTTTTTTTATTAGTTTCAAATATACAGTACATGGTTTAGATATTTATACAGTTTATAAAATGATCCCCCTAATTGTTCTTTCTCTCCTCTGGCTCTCCACCTAGCCAATACATTAGAGCTGACTGCATTCCCTATGCCATGCTCCCCATTCCCGTGACCATCTATCAATTACTAATTTATATTTCTTTTATCCTTCATCCCATTCTTCCAGCCCCCCAAAATCCCTCCCCTCTGTCATCAGATTGTCCTCTATATTTGTGAGCCTGTTTTTGATTAGTTTGTTCTTTTTGTTCCTTAGATTCCGCATAAAAGTGAAATCATGTGGTATTTATCTTTCTCTGACTTATTTCACTCAGCATAATAACCTCCAGGTCCATCCATGTCGTTGCAAATAGGATTTCATTTTTTTTAGTGGCTGAGTAATACTCCATTGTATATATGAACCATAATTTCTTTATCCAAACGTCTGTTGATGGGCATGTAGGTTGCTTCCATATCTTGGTTAATGTAAACTGTTCTGCCATGGACATAGGGGTGCACAGATATTAATAAATTGTTTTGGTTTTCTTTGGATAAATACCCAGATGTGCAATTGCTGGGTCAAAAATTAATTTTTAATTTTTTGAGAAACCTCCAGACTGTTTTCCATAGTGGTTGTACCAATTTGCAATCCCACCAACAATGTATGAGAGATCCCTTTTCTCCGCATCCTCGCCAACACTTGTTGTTCTCCACATATCTTTATATATTTCCTTTCACGTGTATGTATTACAATCAGAAAGTGTAGTGCTGAAGTAGAACCCCTTTCCACATGGCACACGGGAGGTACAGACGAGCAAGCAACAGTCATGAATGTTTGACATGAGGGAAGCCGAGTATCTGAACACAGTGATCCTGGTGAGAAACCCAGCTGCCAACTCCCTTGTGATGGCTGAGAAAGCAGAGAGAGCAGCAAAGGCCCCCACCCATTCCGTTCTGTCTCGCTACCTCTCCTGTAGGCCACAGGCCCCTAGATGGAAAGGATCAAGGGAGCACACACCGATGTTTCCTTAGCAGATGGTAGGTGGTAGCCGGGCCAGTAAAGTGGTTATGCACTGATACTACGAAATCCATTTACTTGATAAACATTCAGCGAGTACCTAATCTGTGCCAGGTACTTTGCTGAGAGCTGGGTGATGAAGAGGAACAGATATTCTCCTTACCGTCAAGGGAGTCAGCGTTCTGGCTAGGAAGGGAAATGTGTTAATAAACAATTACAAGACAATGGGATAAGTGAGAGTGTATTTTCCACTAGAACGTAAGCTCCCAGGGAGCAGGGGTGGCATTCTGTCATCACTGTGACCCCATGGCCTGGATAGTGTCCAGCACAGAGTAAATGTTTGGTGCATAAACTGAGTAAGGGCACATACAAGTGCTATGGGAACCTAGAGGAGTACCTCTCTCTATCTACTGGCCTGGAGAAGGTTCCACCACAGAAGGTATAAAGAATGAGCTGAGTCTTAAAACCTGAACAGTCAGGGAGTAAAAGCATCCAATCAGGGACCAGCTTGCCTCAAAACGGACGCATGAAAGACATTATTCAAAGGATGCAAAAGGTTTGCTAGGTTAGAACTTATAATATACATTAATGAGCGGCAAGACAGAAAATTGATGAGCTCGGGATCAGAGCAAAAAAGATCTGCATGCCATGCTTGAAAGTCTGAACTTTTATGGGAAACCTTGTTAGAATTCAAGGCAGAGAAGTGACAAACTCATTCTGGCAACACTGAAGAGTATGACACAAAAGCAAGGTGGGCTTATTTAGCATCTACTTCAATAGTCCAGTATAGTGGTTCTCAATCACTGTGATTTCGTTCCCCAGGTAATATCAGCCAATGTCTAGACATTTTTGGTTGTCACACCAGAAGGGATGGGGATGGGTTAGTGCTATTGGCATCTAGTGAGCAGAAGCCAGAAATGCTACTGAACATCTTACAATGCACAGAACAGTGCCCACAAAGAATTCACTGGCCCAAAATGTCAGTAGTGCCAAGGCTGAGAAACCCTGGTCCAGTGAGAAGTGAAGAAGCTCTGAGAATAAAGAGGGGAATATTTAGAGTAGACCAGGTAGGACTCAAGAATTTATACATGTCAGAATGAGGTCAAAGGTAACTCTGAGGTTTCAAGTTGAGTGACTGGATAAGTGATGGTACCAATAAATAAGGATAAGAGAAGTGGTCTGAGACAGCAACAGGAACAACAATTTTGAACGTACAGTTGTCCCTTGACAAGGCAGGGGTTAGGAATGCTGATCCCCTACAATCACAAATCTATGTATAACTTTTAACTCCCTCAAACTTAACAATACCATTGACGGGGAGCCTTACCGATAACAAAGACAGTCAATAAAGACATAGTTGGTATACATATCTATTATACACTGTATTCTCACAATAAAGCTAGAGAAAAAAAGTGTTAAGAAAATCATAAGGGAGAAGAAATACATTTACAGTGCTGCATGTATTTACTGAAAAATATCTATGTATAAGTGGACTTGTGCAGTTCAAACCCGTGTTGTTCAAGGGTCAACTGTACTAAATTTTAAAATCTCAGTCAGACAAAGACTCTCACCTGATCTAAGGAAAATCCTTACCTGGATTTTTTCTAGCTATTTTTATAAATATAGAAGTTTTCATTAAACTTCCCAACCCCTACTCTTAATCTCATCCTCACAGTCAGCCTCTAAATCCTCCAGTTGAGTCTGAAGTAACAATCGTGGGCTTTAGACGGTGGCAGAGAACTCACCTGAGAGAGCGGCCAGGGTTCGCTTGGCTGTTCCTTGGAGGGTCTCCCCAGGCTGCCACTCTGCCTGGGGCAGCATCCAAACATCTTCATCTCCGAGCTTCTCTTTGACCAACAGAACAAGGTTCCTGTCTAGCTTCCGGTGCAGTGAGGTTCGGTCATTCTTTTCATCGGCTTCTGGGAAGAAAATGGGGTCGGAGAAAACTAGATAACTGTGATCTACCAGAATGAAAAAGATTAGAGTTTCGCAGCCTTCCTTTAAGGTAGAGCCACAATCCTTGCCTTCAAAGAACTTGGAAAGTAGATCCCCATTATCCATGGTTTTGCTTCCCGTGGTTTCAGATACCTGCAGTCAACCGTGTTCTGAAAATAGTAAATGGAAAAGTCCAGAAATAAACTATTCAGAAGTTTGAAATAGCACACTGTTCTGAAGAGCATGATGCAATTGCTCACCATCCCACTCAGTCTCACTAAGGACATGAATCATCCCTTTGTCCAGGGTCTCCATGCTGCGTACACTCCCAGCCCGATAGTCACTTAGTAGCCACATCAGTTATCAGATTGAGTGTCTCAGTATCACCGTGCTTGTGTTCATATAATCCTCATTTTACTTAATCATGGCCCCAAAGCACAGAAGTACTAATGGTGGCAATTCAGTAGGCCAAGGAAAAGCCATAAAGTGCTTCCTTTAAGTGAAAAGGTGAGTACAGTACAATAAGCTATTTTGAGAGAGAGACCACATTCACATAGCTTTTATTATAATTTATTGCTATAATTACTCTATTTCATTATTAGTTATTGTTGTTAAGCTCTTACTGTGCCTAATTTACAAAGTAAACTTTATCGTAGATGTGTATGTATAAGAAAATATACAGCATTACAAGGCTCAGTGCTATCTTCAGTTACAGGCACCCATTGGGGGTCTTGAAGTGTATTCCCTGCAGAAAAGGAGGACTACTATAATCAAATTACAACCCTGACCCATCTCTCTGACTTCTTTCAAGGTAAAGTCTCACAATCTTGAGGAAACTAAAATATAGGATGAGGACACCAAAAGCTCAACTTTTTCTTTGAAGAGCAAACCATAAAGTACTTTGAGTCTTTGCAAAAGAAACAATACCCATACTAATTCAAACACTAGTATTTGGTTTTGACACTATTACTGATTTAACTACCCCCCACTTTCTCTTCGGTCTTCCTCTGTGAGACAAGGAAAACTCCCTGCTTTTGGAGGGATTTCAGATAAAGCACAGGAAACTACTTAGAAAGGATTAATTTCCCCCTCTCTCAGTCCAAACTAGGAGTTAAACTCATGTAACGTTCATTAAGTTTAACAAAGAGAAAAGGCTATCTCAACAGCCTCACCTCCTACTCAAAAATAACATAAAACTTAAAAAATATTAGAGTTATTAATTTAGGGGAAAATTATACTAGGGCAGATACGAAGAAGAGGGAAAAGAATTTACTTTTCTCCTACCTGAAAGAAATTTTATCATTTGCAATTATTGGTTACTTAAAACGCAAAGAATAGCTTTTGCGTTTTAAGTAACAAATAAAGGGTTTGGGAACCCTTTCCTCTTACTAGCTTGAAAACACCACAAACCTGTGATGCGAGCTCCAGGTTTGAACTGCAGGAATTTCTGCTCCCACATATCTTCTAAATCCTGTACCAGCAATATATTCTGTTCATCTTCTTCTTCATCATAGAGGTCAGCTTTCCTCTTTGCTAGACGCTGGGCTTCATCCAAAGCACGAAGCTCATGGTCTGAATACAGGCTTCTCTCTATCTCGATCTGAGAAAATTAAGAGGACAAAAAAACAGGTAAAATAAAACAGCTATAAAACACCTGACAGACTCAGAAGTTTACCACCCAATATAGCCAGACATACAAGCATAACAGATAAAGAAAAAAGGTCACCTACAGTTTGGGCCTGAATTACACTTGCTAAAATGTGATTGGAGATCAAGATGGCTAAAAACAGAGGATGGGACAGGCAATGCCTGCCCGCTTACCATGCTCCAGTCATGCCAGTCTTTGGTCACAATCTCACTCACCGGTTCTTGTCTCAGGAGTTTACAGATGCTGTTTCTTCTTCCTAGAGTGGTTTCCCTCCCATTTTTCTCCTGAGAGAGTTCCTACTTGTCCTTCAGATCTCAATTTAAGTCTCGCATTCTTGGAGAGATATTGACACCTCTCAAAATTAGATGTCCTTGTTAAATCCTCTTACAGTATTGTGTGTTTTCCTTTATACTTACCTGAGTCTGCAATTATACAGTCATGTTATTATTTAGTTTTTGATTAGACTCCCTCTACTAAACTAAAGCACTCTGAGAACTAGCACTTTAGCACAATGTCTCTACAAGGTAAGTGCTCAGTGATGACCTTAGTTATTAATAACTGCAGAGTAAATTAATAAACCAAGGAAAAAACGTAGAAAAGCACCTTATAGCTCTCAGTAGCCAAGACAAAAACATCTGATTCTAGAGAAACGTATTACCCTTCGATCAATATCTGTGAGGTCTAAAGACCCTCAGAGCCACTACTCCCAGTTTTGCCCATGTTTCTCCACTCGCCCCTCACACAAATAGTCCTGGGATGCAAAACAGGGCTGACTTTACCACAGGCATCTTACAGACGTGTCCACTACCTTCTTCTAACACTCGTCTCATCACAAAGACTTTTTCCTCTCCAAACTATCAACTACCTATGATAGAGACTGAGTCCTTCTTGTTTACCACCGCTACCCTCGCGCACTAAGTAAAAAGGAGAGCATTTCCAAAGAATTGCCTAGGGTGACAATAAAGATAGTCAATGAAAACAAAGTACTTTTTACCGAACGCCTACTATGTACCAAACTAACTCAGTAAGGTAGGTACCATTCTGCAGGTAAGCACAATGAAGTTCTGAGGAGAAGTGACTTGGCCAAAGTCACACAAAGAAAGTGGTGCCAGAGTCAGAATCAAACCTAGGCTCGCGCGCTTTTACTGGTTCCCCAACAGCACCCTGAAGCCATGACTTGCAGCTCCAACCTACCTGCTGTAGTAGTGCCGCCATCTCTTTCTGCAAAGGGGTCAGCGGCTTGGAGACCAGCGGTGGCCGCTGCAGGCACACTGCGCCCAACAGGCTCCATGGAGACATGCTGTTCGAAGGTTTGGCCGCAAGAGTCAGGCTGCGAGAACCAAGGCTACTGGCCCTGAGCCCCTCAAACCGCCGCCAGGCCCTCGCCACCCCTATCAGAGTCCGCATTCCCGGGGCCGCCATCTCTCTGCCTTCCCACAGTGCAATGCGGCGCTCAGCGCTCCTGGGCCAATCCTATGTTCCCACAAGGCAGCGCGGGAACGGCATGTAGGGAAGAGCCCAGTACCGGGAACGATTAGAACGAACCATTCCAACGTAGAGGGGTGGACGAAGAGCTCATGTTAGAAGATAGGGGAAAAGTGGGAAACTCTCAGTTGAAATATCGTAGCTACAGTTATTATAGAATATCTAAATTGGGATAAAAATCTTTAAAGGCCCTTACGAAGAGGAATTAGATGACTTTTCCTCTGTACTCTTCCCCCACAGGCGGTCATGGTGCTGTCGCCGCTCCAGCTACGCCAGGCTCCGTGGACGACGCGGACGGGAGCTGTTTGGGGTCAATTCAAGTCATGCAGGTTGCAAGAAACACGGGGTCTTGGCTTTCGCGGTTATGGGCTTGGATACCGACGAACAGGTAAGAATGATTATCCACTCCGATCCCACGGCTACCCCCGAGACTGCGCTCCTGCGTGTATCCCAGGAACTAGCTGGACTCCAGTGGCCGTTAAGTCTGGGGTCCTCAATGAACTTTCCTTCCCCGCAGCGTCGTGGCCTGGGCGCCGGCCTCCACCATCCATACGAGCGCCCAGCTGCTGCAAGACGGCGCCGCCAAGCAAGAAACTGAGGGGAAGACAGCGGCTCCAACTTCAGCTCCGAGCCGGAGCAGCTTCAGGTGAGGGCCACTTAGGCCCAGCCCTCGGGAGACCCGCACAACCCTCCAGAGTCAGAGAACCAGCGAATTCCCAACTCTGTCATTTGCCATCTGTGAGACATTATGAAAATTAATTTCTGAGCCTCGGTTTTCTCGTCAAAAAAGGGATATAATGCAAAGAGAAGTAGTGAGAATCAAATTGATGAGCCTTGGCATAAAGTGGATGTTCAGTGAATATTTGATGGATGAATGAATGAATGAATATTGGAGGTGTATAGTAAACGTCAGCTTTCTTTCCCCTGAGAGGAAGATCAAGTCAGAATAACAACCTTCCCTGAGCATAGGACCCAAAATCGGAGGGGATTGAGGGGCAATGCTTATTGTGCACTTTTTTAGAGTTGGTCTAAATTCTTCAGAGGTTTTTTTTGTGCTCAGCCCTAGGTAATGGCCACTTGTCTCCCATCAGCGCCACCACCTCTGTATGCTATGTGTACTTATAAACATTTGCCAGGCACCATGCTAGATGCTGGGAATACCAATACAAAAGATCGTTCTTCCCCACAAGTAGTTCACAGTCTACCAAGGAAGACAAACGTGCAAATATTCTCACCATAAACTGATCAATAGTATACTGGAGGTCAGTATGAAAGAATGAGTGTCTAACTCCTGAGTAAATCAAGTAAGACTGTAGAGCTAGGAAGTAAATTGAATGGGCATTCAGCTGGACAAAATGAAAGGGATCGTTTTAGGCAAAGCTAAGAGTCTGTGTAAAGGCATTTGGTATGAAAGAACATGGTATATTCAGGTGTGTGTGTAATTGCAGATGAGGCCAGCAAGACAAGAAGGCATCAGAATGCCGACAACCTTGTCTGTAACAAGTGGGGCTTTGAACACTGTCCCCACTGTAGGCAGTGGGGAGCTTCTAAAGGAGTTTAGGTCAAGATTCTATTGTGGTCATTCACCATTGCCAGGCACTGTTCAAAGTACTGGGAACACACTGGTGACCAAACACACAAAATCCTTGCCCCCACAGAACTTAAGTTCTAGTGAACAGGGGACAGCAATTATTAAACAAGTAAAACATGGGAATATGACAGATGATAGAAGTGTGTCTAGTGTTTGTAAGCAATAGTAAGGTGGCCGATGTGGAATGAGGAGTAGATACAGACGATGGGGTCGAGGAGTGCAGCAGGCACGCAGGGCTACGTCCTGTATGGCCTGTACACAATCATCAGGACTTCAGCTTTTACGCTGAGTGAGATGGGAAGCCACTGGAGAAGTCTGAGGACTGACACAATCATGCCTACATTTTCAAGAGTCCCTTTGGCTGCTGTGTTGATACTGAACTGTAGGGAAGCAAGGATGGAAGCCAAAAGTCTTCTAGGCAGTTAGAAGACCACTGAAATAATCGAGGCAAGGAAGAACGGTGGCTTGGACCAGAGTGACAGCTGTGGAGGTGGTATGAATGGTTGGACTGATATATATATTTAGAAAGAACAGGATTTTTTAACGCATGAGAAAAGGAGAGGAATGAAGGTACACTAAAATTTTGGGTCTGAACGACTGTTAAGATGGGAAGTTTGAGATGCTTTATTAACATCCAAGTGGAGATACAGTGTTGGTTATTAGAAATGGAGTTCAGAGGATACTGAACTAGAGATACTCATCATGTAGATGATGTTTAAAACCACAAGACTACAAGATCACCAAAAGAGTAAGTACAGATAAAGGACCAAACCTTGGAGCCTTCTGACATTTAGAGATTTGGGAGATGAGGAAGAATTAGCAAAAGAGACAGAAGAGACCTCCAGAGAGGTAATAAGAAAACCTAGTTGTTGTTGTTGTTGTTGTTGTTGTTTAATGTGGTTGAAGGGCAGAGAATGCAGCTGATAAGACAGATCAAGAGGCTGATGACAGAACTGCTCATTGGATTTAACATTATGAGTTTGTCGGTGACTTGGACTAGAGCATTTTTGGTGGAGTGGATGGGGAACAGCAATTTGGTGTACAGGATAGGGCCTACAGTCTGATTGGAGTGCATTTGAGGAGAAGATGAGACAAAAACAGCAAGTACAGTCAGTTCTTTAGGGGGGTTCTGCTGTAAGGGGCAATAGAGAAATGTGCAGTAGTTCAAGGAGGCTTTGGGGTCGAGAGATGGGTTGTTTTTAGTCTGTGGAAATGAGCGTGTTTTGCTGTTGGGAATGATGCTATAGAGAGGAGAAAGAACGGTGATGCTGATGCAGGCACGTTACTGGAGTGATGCCCTTGCCAGGCTAACACGCAACTGGAACATAACAGAAGAGAATGCAAAGATTGAGGACTCAGATGTTTGGTAGTGGGAGCTGGAAGAAATTGTGATTGCTTTTATTTGTCTGTGAAGGTCATCAGCTGGCAATAAGCAAGCAAGAACGAACTGGAAGTTTGAGGAGACAAAAGAAGGCAATAAAGTCATCCAGGAAAATGGAAGGATAGTTGAACTGGGGATGTACTGTACGATTGCCTGGCAGTGCCGAGGGCCCACTTGATCTCAGAAGTCATTAAAATAAAGCAGTGGTTCTCAACCTGGGGCACTTTTGCCTCCAAGGGGACTTTCAGCAATGTCTGAAGACATTTTTGGTTGTCTTGGGGGACAGTATCTAGTGGGTAGAGGCCAGAGACGCTGCTAAACACCCCACAGCATATAACACAGCCCCCCACAACAATGAAACATCTTATCCAAAATGTCAACAGTGCTGAGGCTGAGAAACTGATAAAGAGGCCAGCTGGCATTGCTGTGTGTTCTTCTCTAGCCAACTGTGCAGTGTACGCACAGGCTCACAGGGGCTGGAGAGACGGATTTAACCAGGGTTAGGGGTTGCCAGGAGAGTACAGTGAACTAAGAGGGCAGAGAACTGAGGGTGTGTGTAAGGGAGTGACTGTAATGACTGGCCATGGAATTTACTTGAGGTCAAGAGAGAAGCGAGAGGGATAGGGTAAAGCTGGTAAGATCAGTGGGACTGAAGGCTTACTAGAGTACAAGTAGTAGAGGGAGCCAGTGGGTGTGCCCGGAGGTGGTGGGCAGAGGTTCTTGGAACCAAGGTTATAATGGGGTTAATGACAAGTGCTAGGTCTGACCACAGAGTAAGTTCAGCAGTGCTGAGGCTGAGAAACTGATTAATGACAAGTGCTAGGTCTGACCACAGAGTAAGTAGCCAGGGTAGGAGAGAGGACACAGAATGGTTGGAGAAAAAAAGAGGTCAAGAAACAGAAGCCAGGTATTGGAAAGCTCTTACCAAAATCATATATGTGGCAAGAGTAGTGGGCCAGGAGCCATAATCTTTGCATTTTTCTACATTTATTTTCCAAAAATTGTTTGTTGTCACAATTAGAAAATGGGTTGAAGACCATGAGGCAAGGCCTTCTCTGTCTGAAAGCAGAACTGCAGCTTACCCAGCCAAGATTCCAACATCTGCCACATTTGTGTCAGGGTCCATTTGGGTTGGTTTTGTCCAGGGATCAGCAAATTCTCATGCCTGAAGTACACACAGCAGAAGTCAGCCCTCCTTTAGGACCCTCCACAGTGGAGAAGAGCTGCTGATTTCAGCCCCCTTCGGCCATGCAGCAGAGATGCCATGTGTACTGGCCCTGGTCTGAGGATGGTTATGAAGAGGCAGCAGACTGGTGCTGGAAAGCTTTGTCTTCCCTTTACCTGCGCTTGCTGGTGGTGAACCACTTATTTGTTTGTACAGTGGACCTGTGAAGTTTAAAGACCTGACCTTGTCCAAACCTTGAAGTAAATGGTTCCCAGTTCTTCCTTGTTCAAAAACCTTGCTTTATATGTAAAGTATTACAATAGTATATTCATAGTTTAGTAGGCTTACTTTTTTTGACCCCGAAGTCAGTAGAGGAATTATCAACTGGAAAGTGATGATGGTTTAAACATTGTCATCTCAGAGCCTTGTCCACTTTCCATCTCAGTGTGTAGGCTGATAAACCAGCAACCTGCTGAGGTGCTAAATCATCTCTTAAGATCAGGCCTACCAGGAAAGAATACACTTGTAACTCTTGAATACCACTATGCTGTTTTGTTTTTAAAACTATCTCTAAGAAAGCAGGTAGGGCTGGACTGAGGATGGTGCTCAGACAATAGTGTATGTTCTAAACCAGAATCTGTTGTATTTCAGGTGACGGGGGGTACACACATGGATCTGATTTGCACACGCAGGCAGGTTAACTCACATCTCGTATGCTTAATGACAATTCTCTGTGTGTTTGAATAAAAGAAAGTATAACATGATGAGCAGAGCTCTGAACTGAGTCAAGTCTCCTAGGTCTGAGGCCTGGCTTCCCAGCTAACTATGTTCCCCTATTTGTACCTGTTGCTCTACCTGAAGATGATTGTACTGACCTGGGATAGCCAGAGAAAAGATTGGTCTAAGATGGCAAAAGATCCTGAACTCATCACAGTGTCTAGGCCAGTGTTCTCAACCCTGAGTTCACATGTGATTCACCTGGGGCATTTTAGAAATAAGATTCCCAAGCCTCATCCAGAAGTCTAGAGCAGAACTTACACATCACAGCAACAGGTGTGGAGAACCACTGGTGTAGGTTAGGGGTTGGCAAACTACATCCCATGGGCCAGATCTGGCCAGTTGGAATAAAGTTTTATTGGGACAGCAACACCCATTGATGTACTGTTGTCTGTGGCCATTTTTGCACTACAGGGTTGCAACAGAAACTTCAGGGCCAGCAAAGCCTAAAATATTTAACTCTCTGGCCCTTTACAGAAAAAATCTGCCAACCTCTCTTCTAAAGGATAACTGGATCATTCTGTAGTAATGCTAAGTATTATTAAAATTTTGTTGCCCTTTTTTATAGAGTCAAGATATCATCTGGATAATGAAAGAAGATAGAGAGGTTTAACTATATTTTTTAAATTGCAGAAAGTAGTCTATAAAGGAATGAAAATAGTAATCGGACTATACAATAAGGGGCACCAGGGAATATGGGGAACATAGATTCTCTTTTCTTCCAGCAGAAAGTCACTCGGTGTATCTAGAATCAACAGTTCAAGAAACAGCCGCGTAAGCACAGTGTTCAGACAGGGCGGCAGCACCAGAAGGACTGAAAAGCGGTGGCGGTGGGGGCCGCCTCGGCACAGGCTGGGGCAGACGGCTCCTATCTTTCATTATGAGTTTGTCTGCACTATTAGATTTTCTTTAACTATGTGATGGATTTCTAAAATTGGTAATTGTACATAAATGTTTCTTGTAATTGCAGCATTTACCCTCCAATTCCAGGACAGGAGAGCTCTCTGAGGTGGGCAGGAAAGAAATTTGAGGAGATCCCAATCGCACACATTAAAGCATCCTACAACAAGTAAGCAGGATGGGAAGCACGGGGCCGGTCTAGGTGGGCTGCTTCCCCGTCCTGGGGGAAGGCAAGGGGGCCCTGAGCACCCTGCTTGGGCTGGGAGTCAGGGCACTGTGTTCTGCAGACGTTCCAGGCTTCCCCCCTTGTTTTAGGAAACCAGCTCTGTCTTTATAACATTAATTCAGATTTCATGAAAATGACCTGAGTTGAATAATACCACATTGATAAGATCTGCTTTCCTACACACCAGTGTCAAGAGAGTTCCCAACTGCGTGTTGGCAGTGGAAGCCTCGTTGACGTTAGTGACAACTTTGTAGGCCAGCCCCCACTTGGAGACGGGTTGGTGTTTGGTCGCAACCTGCCCACGAAGCAATTTAGAGAACAATACAAGAGACATAGTCACAGATAGAGTGTGGGGCACAGGCGAGATGCCGTGAGATTCATTCAGCATTGTAAGCGTCGAGAGCCTACTCTATAGCTCTGTCTCAAGGACAAGCAGTTCTCTTGTGCATCTGTCCAGCATAGAAAACCCAAGAAGCCCCGGTAGGGAAATGGCAGCCATAGCCAGGCCAGCAAGGAGATGGCCCCCGCCCAGGGCTGGCTCTGGCAGTCTCCCCATAACTGCTTTTCCACTTCCTTCTTTACTGAGTTGTCAGGGAGTTCTGCAGACCAGAAGACAGGGTGATAACGACCACGGGGGAAATCTAGAAATTTAGAAATCTAGGGATTTCTAAAGTCATTCTCAACTTTTAAAGTTAAGAGACGCTTAGAAAAAAAAATGTTCCACTTATTTAAACATCAATCATGAAATGGAAACATTAAAATTATCCAGTATGGTACCATTGCTAGCTTTTTTTTAAAGATATAATGGTTTTATCATTTTTTTTTTTTTAAGGAGTTCTTATCTTTTAGTGTTACATACTGAAATAGTTACAGATGAAATGATGGGTCTGGAATTTGCTTCAGAATAATTCATTAGTAGTAAAAAGGGGGGAGTGGAAACAGGGTTTATAGATGAAGGTAAATTTGATACGACTTAATTGTTGAAACTGGGTAATGGGTCCATGGGAGTTCATATACTATTCTGTTCACTCTTGTGTATATTTGAAACTTTCACTAATGAAAAGTCTTTTTTTTTTTTTTAATTATCTGATGTGAAACATGTAGTTTTTTAGGGGAAAAAAAAACAGACAAGGACAGCACGCTTAACTTAAACACTGGCTACAGGGAAAAATGTGTCACCCTTCTCCTGGATGACACTTAGCCACCCTCAGACTATGGAGCTTGTCTTAGTTGGCTCAGGCTGCCATAACAAAGTACCATAGACTAGGTGACTTAAACAACAGGCATTTATTTCTCACAGCTCTGGAGGCTGGAAGTCCAAGATCAGAGTGCCAGCATGGTGGGTTCTGGTAAGGACCCTCTTCCAAGTTGCAGATGGCCACCTTCTTATTGTGTCCTCACATGGTGGAAGGGGAGAGGGGGCTCTCTGGAGTCCCTTTTATAAGGACACTTATCCCATTCATGAGGGCTCCACCCTCATGACCTAATCAGCTCCTAAGGGCCCCACCTCCAAATACCATCATATTCAGGGTTAAGATTTCAACAGGAACTTTGGGGGGACACATCATTCAGTCTATAATGGAAGTCTCTTTAGATTATATGACTTGTCAGTATTCATTGAGTTTTAGGGGATGATTCTGACCTTTCCTGGCACCTCCTATAGGAGTTCAAAAAACATTCGGCTAGTAAGCTCAAGTGAAAGCAGCTTTTTCTTTGTCACTCGGACTTGTAAGAGCATAGGTTAGTGCTCTCTTATGTCCCTGAACGGTCATTATATCTTCTGTGCTTCCCCTGCTTTCCCAGCACACAGATCCAGGTAGTCTCTGCCATGAACCAGCCCCTTGCCCGTGCTTCCTGTGGCACAGAGGGGTTCCGGAACGCCAAGAAGGGCACGGGCATCGCAGCACAAACAGCAGGCATAGCTGCTGCGGCGGTAAGTGTGTTCTTTCTGGCTCCCTGTGTGGAGTGCTCCCCATTATGCATGGCTGATCACTGTGATGAGAAAATCTCCATGAACTAGCCGTTCAGAAGCAATGGGTGTTTGCCAACTCTCGTTTGATATCCGAACATCAGAAGTGGTTTGAAGAGGTCTGTGAAAAGCCTGCTCTCTTATCTTTCTCTTAGCTTCAGCTGAAGGGAAACACTTGTTGGTTCGTTCTAGAAGATGTAAGAACCAGGTGCTGAAGGCTTACCAAAGCCTCCTCGAAGCAAAGACCAGTGAGGTGGGGATGGGATTGGTGATGATAGTCTATTTGGGCAGATGTGGTATGGCGAAAACCCTCGTGCAATACCAGGTTGCGAGCTGCTGCAGACCTTTCTGGAAGCAAATCGGCAGTGTGCTGCTATTGGCATATTTATTGAGCATCTACTACACGCCAGACACCTTACACTCATTATCTTAAATACTTAGATGTTTGGTACTACCCATGTTAAGAGCCAGCTGAGATACAGAGCGTGTGACTGGCTCAGGGCCATGCAGCCACTTGAGTTCCCTGAACTGAACCCAGATCGGTCTGGGGCCAAAGCCTGTGCACTGTCTGCTGTAGCACAGGCCTTACAAAGGTTCGCACTGGTTCTGCCAAACCACAAGTATTTGAGGAAAACCTTGACCTCAAATAAAGCTCCATGCGCCAAAATATTGATTATTATGTATTAATGATCATCAAAAGGTGCTAAAGGTCCACAATGGACAGATTATATACACTTAAACATGTCAGTGTTAAAAGTAGCTTCTGTAGGGTAGGTTGAGTGAGTTCTGTGTGTTTTCCAGACTTTCTATCATGAACTGCCTTTATAATCAAGAAAGAAAAACTTAAATATTACTAAAGATTTAAAATGATAATTTTTAAGTGAGTATTTAAGCTCAGCCTTGAAGTACAGGGCAGCTCTTCATGATCTGAAATTCTGCATTTACCTGAGAAAAACTGGAGCGATATTTAGAAATTTCCAGTAGGTGGCAGTGCTGTCCTGGGCAAAAAGGGATCACAGCTGACTTTGACTTGACAAGTTCTGTGCTCTCTGCTGGTGTCTGCCCTGCACTGCGGCCATCTATCCCATGCTTCCTTCCTGTCTGTTTTTATACGTGGGTGACTTTTCTCTGGAGCTCAAAACCCTGTTGCTCAAGGCGGCAGTAGCAAGAGACTAGGATGTAGCTGTTCTGGGGGTGGGGGACAATGACCAGTGTCCTCTCTTCTCCAGAAAGCCACGGGGAAGGGCGTGACCCACATCCGAGTGGTGGTGAAAGGCCTGGGGCCAGGGCGCTTGGTAAGTGGCTGCCGTTCCCCACAGGTTGTATGTTCTTGCTTCTTTGGGAAGTGACAGAAGTGGCGCTTGAGAGCAGGGTAGGGGGAGTGGCAAAGGACCCTATAGTGGATTTCCAGGAGGACTTGAAGTTTCTGTTGTTCTTATGACCTGCTCAGCCTAGATCACCTTAGTTGAATTTATCAGAGTTCAGTAAGTGCGTGCTATGTGCCAGGCACTGGGAATAGAAAGGTGGTCCATGGGGGACTATCACAACGGATCCCTCAGTACAGACTGGGTACGGTGGCAGAGCTTGTGCCCAGGGTGCTGGGAGCCCATTGGGTATAATCAGGAAAGCTTCCTCAAAGAGGTGACATCTCTACTAACTTGAAAATAACGAGGTGTTAGCCAGGTATGGGAGGAGAGGGGGGACATTCTAGGCCAAGGAAACAGCTTAAGTAAAGATACAGAAGTGTAATGCTAAGTTATGTCAGGGTTTATAGGTAGCCTTGGTTCTCTGATCGTAAAGCACAAGGTGGGAAGAGGCAGGTGTGACTAGAAACGTGGACAGCACTGAGGACCCGGGGAAGGGGTCTGGTTGGAAGACCTCTGTGAGACCATTAGAGGGTTGGGATCACAGGTATCAAAGCCAGCGAGCCTTCCCACTCTCCTCCCTACCCCACCCTCTCCCTCTGCGCCCTGTCTGGGCACACTGGGTCACCATTTCCGGGAGCATGCCATTCTACTGTTCCTTCTGCTCCTTCCAGTCTGCCATCAAGGGACTAACCATGGGGGGCCTGGAAGTGATCTCGATCACAGATAACACCCCCATCCCACACAACGGCTGCCGCCCCAGGAAGGCTCGCAGGCTGTGATGGGAAGGAAGCCTGCACCTGAACCTGACTTCAAGCTCCACCTCCGGCTGGACCTCGTAAAAAGCACACTGGCAGAGTTCTCTCCAGAGGTCCTTCAGACACCAAGGGAGAGCACTGCCTCTTTACGTGGTGGCCTCTGTTGTACTTTTGACTAGAGATCGGCATGCCCAGAAGTGAGGCTGTGCCTCTCTTGGACACAAGGGGAGCCACAGGAGCAGCTGTGGCCCAGACTCCAACCAGTAAATGCTTCCCTGCTCTAAAAAAAAATAAACATCTGTATCATCTGTAGTAAGCTGTGAGTTTTTTGCTTCCAGATTTGCAAACAGTTATTCCCACTTTCTCCTGCAAAAGAAATTTTGAATTGAGATGAAACCCTAGATTGAAGGGTCAAAGTGTAAATGTGAGCTGCTATTCACCAGACCCCTTCCCTTCTGCTTTCAGATATTTTTTAGCCCATTAACCAAGGTTTCAAGAGCTTCTCTTAGCAATTTTTATTATTAACAACTTGTAATTTGGCCCCAAATGTAGAGTTTTTTGCCTGCCTGTTCTGGAGCATTCTCATAACAGGAGACTTCACCTTTGGGAGCATAAAGTTCGCCCTAACAATGTGCGTGGACTGTCCTCAGTCTGGATCTGCTAAGAGCGAGGCTCCTTGCCGTGAAGTGGCATCATCTGTTACACACCCAGGGGCTTCAACAGTCCCTGAGTGACCTGGGAGTAGGGAGGGTAGAGTGGTATAAAACAGGATTCTCTAGAAAGGGTGGATGGAGGGACGGGTGAGAGTAGAGCCCAGACTGAAAAATGCAGAAAACAGTTGGTGTGGAACCTGGATGGTACTGACACAAGTGGACTCAGCCCCAGGGCACCAGGCAGACATGACTGCTCATCAGGGCTCTGGGGTTCAGGGATACCACACGGAACCACAGGTGAGGGCTTGAGATCCCCCTCCTGGACAGAGAGGGCCCCCATCGGGGGATGAAAGGAGGGGTGCCTGTGCATAGAGGCACTGTTCCTCCTGGATGAGTACAGGAAGGGCTGGCCGACCCCCCAGGGAAGGTGCTGTGGGGTTCCCTTCTGTGTTCGGCCAGGTACAGTGTGATCTGCCTGAACTCAATGTAATTAACTCACAAATGCTCTCCTAAATAGGGAAGTGGCTGCGTTAGGGTTAAAGAAGGGGTAAAGACCATGACCTGGACAAGAATTTTAGAAGAAAAAATGTTCCCCTACTGCTTTCTCTTCCAATGGCAGGGCCAGTGAAGGTTAACTTGTGAGCAATGACTGAAAAACTCCAACTGGAGGCTGCTGTGTTAAAGCCACTGCCGGAAGAAGTTAACACTATTTCACCATAAAATTGCATGAAAACACAATGCGTGAGAACTACAGGGCTCTTGAGAATTGCTCTGTGATTTGGTTTGGCCTTTGGGTAGAGAGTTTGTCAGGGCCAGTGTGAAAAAAGAAGGTTCCAAGGTTTAAAAGAGGCTTAATGAAGGTTCTTCACAGAGGTGTGGGCAGGGCTAGGGCAACAGGCAGGCTGTCGAGCACTCCAGGGCTAGCAAGAGCAGGAAGCCTTTACCGCCCATGGCCTGCAGGAAGAGTTCCCAGAACCTGACAGGGACGCAGCCTCTGCCAAAACCAGGGCCTGGCAGAGGGACAGGCTAGACTCGCCCAGCCCAGCCCCGCCTCCGATCACCTGCTGGTGTCCCCAGTGCCTGAACCCAACAAGAAGAAGGCAGGGGAACCAGGTGGTGTGGTGCTTGAAGGGTCAGCGTCCCAGGCCACAGAAGGGACCCGAAGGGGCATGTGGAGAACAGTAAGCACAGGTGATTTCCGTCACCCCTAAAAGTGAAGTACTCTGTACAGCGTTGTTTTAGAAAGTGTTATTTTACCCACAAGGGGGCTTTGGAAAGGAAGATTCTGCACAGGGTCCCAGGAGAGCCTACAAGCACAGACAGGACACTGGGGACTCTAAAGGATCAATGGTCTTGGGCCCAGAAACAGATGCCTGGCACAACGTTACCAGGTGCCAGGTGGGGTGGGCCACCATTGTCAAAGCGGGCCAGCGAACACACACTTTATTATGAGCTTTCGGTGCACACTATTGTGCCCAGGCTCTGAGTCGCCAGTGAAACTTGTGCTCTCTTGAGCTGTATTACCTCTCCATTGTTAGGTCTTGGCCCCACAAAGACTAGCCCCTCCTCAGGGAGACTAAGGTGACTTCACCAAAGGCTGACCGATTAAAGTAGTTATTGATTATCTAAAATTCCAGCTGCCCCATCCCTGCTGCCACAAGCCCTCTCAGCAGCCAGCCTCTCGGTCCTGAGAACACTGGAGGGCCGTGCACTTGCACTTGCCAAAGGCAGAGAAGAGGCAGCACCTAGCACTGAGTCCCGGTTATATGCACGCACGGTGTGTTGGCGTCAGCTGCATGACACGCCTCCTTGTTTCCTGGCAGCAGGACCTCAGATTATTTTGGTGCATCTGCAGGTGCATCTGCAGTTTTGCTTCTGCCAGCTCAAAGCTGGTGGCATAGGACTGGCTATATGAGGGAAGCTTCCCCCCCGTCTCCTCTCCTCTGTGCTCAAAAAGACAAATACAATTTCTCCCCTTTCGGCATAGACAGTGTTTTCCCTTTCGGCCAAAGCATCACCTGATGCCAAGATGTACTGTCAGCCCCCAAATAAGCCTGTTTAACACTGAAGCACCTACATGCTGACAGAATAGCAGTCAGCACATTGGGAGAAACCAGGTCGCCTCTGCCTGCAACCTGGCTCTGACACACCCATCAAAAAATGCATGTATACCTTTCCCCGGGGCTCCTCTATTCCTTTTTTTTTTTTTTCCCCTATTCTGGGTACACACATTGCTTTTTAAATCTCAGTATTATCAGCCCAAACTGATGGAGCAGTTACTGCCACAGCAGAAATTGTCCATTCAACCGAACTGAGCAAACACAGGTTATTGCACAAACACAGGCTGGACACTCGGGGAACAGATATGGCCCTGTCACTACTCCCCTCAAGCTCACAGTTGAAGGAGGCCAGACAGGCATGTGGCTGAATCAGAAAGAAGTTCCATGAGATATGCACGAACGGTCTTGGTACATGAGTGAAAGAATGATCCCTTCGTGTTAAGGAATGAAGAGAAGGCTTTGTAAAGGAGGTGGCAGGCAAGACAATCAAATGGATCCACGGGTGTCCTTAGGATTGGAAACTGGCAAACTGTGAAAAGATGCTCCATCTTCCTAGTAATCAAGGAAATGGGAATTAAAATACATCATCCCCATTCCCCAAATGATGCTAATCAAAGCCAGATGGGAATGAGACTGCTCAGGAAAAAAAGCAGAGAATGAGGCAGACAACACTGCAAAGGCGATGGGGACGGCGTGACCGCAGGCACGGCCTCGCAGAAGCCAAAGGTTGAGCACTTCAAGTAGGAAGGGACGAAGTGCAGACTGCAGCTGACAGGTCAACTAGGTGCTCAAGCAAGATGAGGACCGGGCAGCGCCCGTTGGGTTTGGCAACGTGGAGGTCACCACTCACCAAAAGGAGGGAGGGTGGAGAGAGCGGGAGGTGAGGGAGGGGAGACTCTGCCGATGCCAAGTCTTCCGGTGAAGGCTGGGTCATGGCAACAGGGAATGTATGAGGACACGGCACTCTCCCCCGAGATGGTGGGGGCCAGGAGTTGGTGTGGAGGAGCCCTGGCCCTCAGGGAGTGGGGAGGGAAGAGGCCGAGAGCTGGGGAGAAGCAATCTCAGCAAGGCGACAGGGACAGAGACAGCCGGTATGGGGCTCCCTCTGACAGGTGTCCCCATTTTAAGTGGGGAACAGCAGTGTCTGACTCAAACGACGTGGACACTGACCACAGAAACAGAATGTCCCTGCGTCAGTACACTGGGAACGTTTCTTTTTTCCCCCCAACATTCCATATAATTGTTTTGAAATACATGTGCTCTCCCTCCCCGAGCTCTTACTTGACGGGGAGGGGTATAAACAGCAAAAGCCTCTTCAGAGGGAAAGTTGGCAATTCATGGCAACACTGAAGATGTACAGACCTCTGGCTTCATAATTCCCTTTCGGGAACTTATCGTACAGGGCAGCACCATCCGACGATGAAAATGCTCTAGATCTGCCGCCAGAGCAGCCGTGAGCCCCCGTGACTCTTTGGCGCTTGAGATGTGGCTAGCATGACTGAGGAACTGGACCTCAAGTTTAGTTTAATTCAAATTAATTTAAACATAAATAGCAACATGTGGCTGGTAGCTACTATGTTGGAGAGTGCTGCTTAGATATTCTATCATGTATGTAACAAGTATACAAAAATACACTCACTGAGGCACTGTGAGTAATGGTAAAAGAGTGAAACCTAAATGTCCATCAACAGGGTACTAGTTAAAGACATTACGGCCCATCCATGTAATGGAATGTCAGCCCTGACACAAGCCAGGATATACTGCTGAGTAAGAAATAAAGGCAGGGGGAAGACAATGTACATAGTATAGTCACCAAGTTCTGTAGAAAATGACAGGACATGTGTACATAAATGTGTGTGCATTGAATATCTGCAAAGACGTACCCCAAAATGGTAGCATTCTCTCCAGAGAATGAAACTGAGTGACTAGGAAATAGACAGAAAGAAGACTTTACTTTTTTCACCTGTAAGAGAGGGTGCTGTGTACATTGTTGTTGCTTAGTCAGATTAATTAATGAACTGATTAAAATAAAAATAAAGAACTGATTTATGAAAATGTACAGAAGCTGTAGAGTCAGGCATTATGTAAATTATCCACTGAAGTGTGCACACATTTTAATAGACATGTGACACATGCAGACCTTGTAACACTCCCCTACCCCGCCACCGCCCCGCTGGTGGTCCAGTATTTGGGGGGCAGTCATCTGACTTGGCTCGGAAATTGGTTCTGGTAATTAATCTGGCTTCTCCCCTCACCCACTCAGGTTCAAATTAAATTGTGCACATGCTCTGTGATTCGGCCAAACAAGTCGCGCCAGAAAAGCCAGCCTGGCCTCCTGGTGTCACTGGGGCTTGGCTGGAGGGAGGGGCAGACAGAACGCACTGCTCATTTCCATAGTGCCCTGCGGCAGCTTAACCACCTTGGATTTGTGTAATCCCCTTCTACCGAAAGTAAATGTCAGCTGAGGGGCAGTGTGGTGTCACAGGGGGCCCTGGCCTACAGGACACCTGCTGTCTAGACCCAAATGAGCACAGACACTGGCAGTCGGGCCACACTACCCTTCCCCCAGGGGATGTCAGTTTTCCCTTCAGGACAAAGA